GGGGGGGGAGGAAGATCTAACGCTAGTGTCCGGGTGGCGGCGCGGCGGTCCGCTCTCAGCTGAGCTCGTCCTCCGCGTTGTGCTGGTCCAGCAGTTTGACGTGCGTGAAGGGGAAGTGACCCCGCTTGCCTTTGCACTCCCCCTCCCACTGGCCGTTCACGTTTATTTTGGTCACCTTCACCATGTCGCCCACCTGCGGAGGGAGGGGGAGAAGAGAGACGTCAGCGGGCCACAAACAAGCACGGCGGCAGCGCGAGACGAGGGGGCCATCTCTTAATCCTCTTTACTCGCAGAATCAGGTCAGATCCGTCCAGACGGAAGGAAAAAAAAAAAAAAGAAAAAAAAGAGCCGACAGCTTTTCCGATATATGTCAAAAACAAAAACAAAAAAAAGAAGAAAAGAAAGGGGAAAGCAGATATTTTACTCTTTGCTCTGATGGAGGGGCTGCACGCCGGGGGTTTTTAACCCCCGGGGGCCCAAAAAACATTCTGCCCAACTTAACCAAACACCCTAAACTGCCCATAGGAGTGAAAGTGTGTGTGCGAAGCGGGGTGCATCAGCGGGGATATGCCCCAGCCCCCACCCCCCCCCCCCCCCCACGACCCCGCCAGGAATGAGTGCAATGGAGGATGGATGGATGTTCTGGTCATCCTAATCTACTCGCCAAATGATCAAACCAGAACGTATCGGCAGGAAGGATGTGTGATCCTTTCAGTTCTCTGGTTTCTCGGACACAGGCTGACGTCAGACTGCGTGTTGCTGCCCGTCTCACCGAAGGGGCTGAGAACAGACGGGGTTTGGCTTAGCTGGACGCACGGCCGATTGCAGGTGTGCAGGCGTACCCGAGGGTAAAGCGGCCCGATAAAAGCAGTCGAGGAAGAGGAGCGGCTGCTGCTGGTGAAACCTGAGCAAACAAGGGACTGGCTGGCAATTCCAAAGGTCGGGTCTGCTGGGACGAGGCCTGAGCGGTCGGCACAGTCGGCCCGAGCCCGGTGAGAGTCTGACCGCCTGCATTCTGACCCCACGTGTCAGCCGGCCCCTCATTACGACAAGGCCTCCACACTTAACCGCTGCCTCTTCTGATTATTGCTTTAACTAGATAGAAAAAAAACTTTTGGGAGATTCCTGTTAACTTGGTCAGTAAACAGTACACATTCTGGAGAGAAAAGGGAAGCGGAGCTATTGAGGATGAGCAACGCACTGCCATAAAGGAAACAAGTCTAAGAGCTGATTTTTACCCCCCAAACACGGCGACAGAACACCTCATCCACAGTAGTGTGTCTTAGGGATGTCCCGATCCAGCTTTTGCCCTTCCGATACCGATCCCGGCCTATCAGAGCATGTATTAAAGTTTAACGTTTTTTAGCCTACTTACTTAGTTGTCAGACTCATGTCGAACAGGGATTTACTCTGATAACAGCTTAATGGTTAGGAGCCAGATCTGTGGGTTAGGAGATGCTAATGCTCCTGTGGGTTTGGACTTTTAAAAAAAAATGGATGGGGAGTCTGGATTGGCATTTTTTCCTGCCGGACGATACGCAATTTTTTGCAAATATTGGCGGCCAATCCGATCCAAATATGGGATCGGGACAAGCCTACTGAGTCTCCTTGGTTTTCCCATACCTCTGTGAAAACTCTGCCACCCTGACGGTGATCCAGAGGGGCTCCCTGGTGGGAAACTGCTCAGTGGGGCTCGGCTTTTAGGTTCAGCTCCGGAAGGACTCACGGGGCTCATTTGGGGTTTAAGGATGGGCGCAGTCACCTCTCTGTCTGCGAAACCAATTCTGTGGGTTCTCCATCAGAACCTACTGAGCCCTTCACGGCTCTCCCCGCTTTGCCAGAACCCAGTTTGGGTGGAGTGGCCGTCCGGTGCTGGCTCCGAAAGCTTTCTGGGCACTTCTTATGGGAGGAGGCCCTGGATGGACTCTTTCTCTCTTTTGTCCTCGCAACGCCCTACGATCCCCCAGGAGGAGCCGTGTCACTGGGGAGAGGGACGTCTGGGTTTCTCTATCAGCTCTGAATGCAATTAGAGCAGATCATATATATATATATATATATGGACTTGTCTCGTAGTCCCGCTATGGACTGTACCACCACAGATCAATGGCCTCACCGTTATTAAGATGAATTTCAGCAAACACCGGGAGTTCTAGCTGACGCACCGCTTCACGTCTAAGCCGCACCAACAGAGGCCGGCTGGACAGGAGCAATAAGCCATTTGTCATCCATTTTTCCTCGCTCTGCACATTCTGATTCCAACTGCATTTCCAGCCGGTCTGATTCCGCTTCTCACTCGGCAGCAAAAAATAAACCTTCCATATGATCCACAATACTCTTGAGAAACAGGCTGGTCCGTGCACAATGGTGAGAATACGTCCCTGAACAAGCTACAGATCACCGATATGAACGATTCAGAGATGGACATATAAAAAGCAGAGATTCAGCTCTGGTGTTACAGAACTCTTCCCACGAAAGAAACGATGTCTCCACTTTCCAAACAGAGAAGCTCTGAAGTTGTCAGGTGCTGACAGAGAACTTCTACCATTGAATTTTTAACACCGGGAGCGTTGGAGCTGACGCTGTTTTTCCGGTAAATTAAACGAAATAGAGCAAATCTAATTCAAACACTTGTGGCTGTTGTCTTAACGTGAAGATGAGCTGGGCATAAAACAGAGCTCACACAGGGCTGACCACAGAGGGACAAACACTGGAGCCGGAGCCCCAACAGTACCATCCAGCTGCCGGGAGGCAGACAAAAGCACATTCAGCCCGGCCCGCCTCCCCGTCCTCGGCCCGGGCTCAGCTGGAATTCTGGCTTCACAGAGACCAGAGGAAACGGCGCTGTTCCCAAACACAAACTATTTCCTTCCCCAACTCCCCACCCCCCCACCACCCCCGATGACCTGCTCCGTGGGAGCCCGGCTCTCACTTCCGGACTGTTAAAGCCGCCCGGCACGGCGCAGCAGCAACAAGCAAGAGCGCCATTAGCACGCCAGAGCAGCTCCAGATCTACCGGGAAGAGCCCCCCCGGCGGCCAGGGACCAGCCGCCGGGCTGTTCTGACACTCAAGTGCTGCACGATTTGAGGAAAATGTGCGATTGTGGACTATATTGTGATTTGAGATATTATAAATGAAGGGTGTCATGAGTCTGCGTGCTTGAATATCAAGGACAACGCAGACAATTACAATTATTTTGTATACTTTTCAACTGGAAAAATCCAAACATGACCCAAAAGAAACCTGAACTTAACAGTACTGACATAATTATGATTATAATTATGATCATAATTGTGACAGCGATTGTGATTTGATTAATCGTGCAGCACTAGGATTGAGTGCGAGACGCAATGAAAACGCGCACGGCGAGGAGAGACGGTCAAAGAACGTGGGCCCGGCCCGATGAGCTGAAAGAACCCGGTCCTCCATCCTTCTCCCCGGCCGTCTCCTGTCCTCCGGAGCCAGCCGGGAACTGCAAGCGGTCAAGAGAGAGACAGGACGGGAGAGTTGGCGTTTACCTCCAGAGCCAGGGCGGTTTTGTCGTAGGCGTTGGGCACCCTTTTCTGAATGGCCCTGGCGTAGACGGGTCCGTTCTGGAGGTTCGGGAGGGGCGTGGGCTGGGCGTACTGGCTGGGGTCTCCGAGCAGGGGAGTGCTGGTCTGTGCGGCGGGGCCGTCCGAGTTCCCGTGCACGGCCGGCCCCGCCGCCGCTCCGGCCGGCTGACCGGCGGGCGCGCCGGGCCCGGCCATCGAGCTCGGGGACGCCGGCCGGTACTTCTCCACGTAGGGGACGGGGATCATCCCCGTTCGGCCCTCAGAGTTCTGGGCGTTCCACCACTGCTCCTCGGGCTTCTCCAGGACCCGGAGGATATCCCCCTTCCGGAAGGGCAGGTCCTCCTCGTCGTTGCCGGGGAAATCGAAAAGCGCCCGCACGTACTCGTCCTCCAGGCGGGCCGGGGCGGCGCCGCCGCCGGGACCCGCGCTCATGAAGGTGGGGTGCTTGGCCTTGTTGATGGGTTCTATCAATGTAGTGGTGTCCAAATAGTGGATCTTGTAAAACTCCAGCAGAGCGTGGAGCGCGTCGAACTCCTGGTCGCCGATCCGGAACCGCGGCTGGGCCAAACCTGGTCGCAGAGAATTATCGTATTACCATCAGAATAAAGCCCTCTCTGGACTGAACAGTGTGCTGGTCAGTTCTAGAATGGGGGGAAAAAAGGCCTTGGTTTGCTTCCAGTTTCCCCCCTACAGCCAGCTGTGATGGGTAGAGAAATGCTGTTTCCTGTGTGTGTGTGTGTGTGTGCATGTTAGTGAGCGTGTGTGTGTGTGTGCTGAACCGGGGTTAGCATGCCCGTGTCTGGCCTGCTGTGGTCCCCATTCTGGAGGGGAGAAAAAAGAGCCTTTGGGCATCTTTTCTTTGGTGCAAGTCATGCAACAGCGGTCACATCATTAGCAGACTGCCGTGCCGTTCCGTGCCGTGCCCCCCCAACCACCACCACCACCACCACCATACCACCCCCTCCCTCCCTTCCACGCCCCTCCATTCTTACCTGGACCCGACTGCCGGTTGTTGCTGATGCTGTTTATTATGTAATGCGAGACTTTGGAGTTCTCCGACACCGACAGCACGTAGTCGCCGGGGCTGGTGATGGAGTCCCGGACCAGGAAGACGCCGTGCCGCTGCCCCTGCAGCAGGGACACCGCCTCCTGCCTGCTCAGCCGGCCCCAGTACCAGCTGCCGCGGTCCTCCGCGTCGAAATTCCCGGCCATTTCGAACCACGCCGACGCCGAGGCTTCACCCGGGCCTTCCCCCCCCCCCACTGCTTCCCTGCCTCCCCGTTATCCGCAAGCGAAAGCCCCCCCTTTCTCAACTCATACAAAAAAAAACTTTAGCGCCACGGAGCACGCCGAGGAAACGGGCGACGTCCGCGGCTGGCCGTCGGGCATCAACCGGCCGATTCGGAAAACACACTTCGTCCCGGGAATGGCCTCTCGTTTCGTTTCGCGGCCGGACCTCGCAAGAACCGAGTGTGGAATTCGTTTAAAAGACCGAATTCCGGCCACCGTCCATCCACCTATGACAACTAACTTCAAAAAACTGAAATGGCGGATACGTGAAAACAAAAAGGGCCCCCACTCGCCGGAAGTGACGTAGGGGCTACGTGAAGAATGCCCGCAGGCGTTGGATTACGTTTAAAATAGCAGCGTGCCGCCTCATTTTGGCGGCGAACGTTGGGAGCAGCAGACTCCCGTCGCCCTGTCTGCCCCCGCCGCCCCCAGCCCAGAGTCAGGCCGGCGCCCCGGGGGGGGTTGACGGTTCTGTGGCCCAGGGGTTTGGGCGTAAACCCGCACACATGGCCGGTTCACCTCAAAGCCCACGCCAGACACGCTGAAACCACCTAAAGCAGCAAAAAAAAAGATGCTAATATGGTGGCCAAATAGTTTTACCAACGCAAAACTCACACGTCTATCAGGAGATATTCCTGAGAAAGACGTTTTTTATTGTGATGGGAGTCCATTCCTGTATGCCCACAGGCTTAAAGTCCACTAAGGTGTTCTGTGCAACAACATTAACCTGAAGACTTCCCGCAGTGCCCGGATGGGGCCAAACACCTGTCTGGGTTCTTACATTTAATTAAAAAATTGTAACTTCTCACAAAGCGGAGGCGAAATGTTTGTTTCGGTTGTTTAATCGTTGGCCATTGGGTGTCACTAAAAGACCACTCACGTGTCTGCTGTTGCGTCCCATCTGATTTCTGGGCCAAAGGGTGCACCCAGGACCCAGGACAGGTCGGTCCACTTCAGGGCAGAGTCACCTCCTCAGATCCCTTTAGAATCACTAATGAACCTTAACGTCTGTTTTAGGATGTGGACAACACGTAAACTCCACCGGAAAAAACACTAAAGGCAGAAGTTGAGCTCTGAGTTCTTCGTAAAGGTCTCCAACTCTCCAACGGGCTGTAAACGCTTCCTTGCTTAAGCTGATCTGATTCTGATTAAATGGGTAAATTCAAAAGCTCTGCAGAAGTCTGATGGGGGCATTCTGTGTGTTGAAGCAGGGGAACCGACCCTGGACAACCCTTATGTGTGACAGCAGTGTTAACCACTACACAACAACAGTATTAACCACTACACAACAACGGTGCTAACCACTACATAACAATAGTGCTAACCACTACACTGTCGTGCACCCAACTATTTTGAGTCATGAATAACTCAATTGCGGGCAGATTTTCTTCCTAAACATCAGAAGGTAATAAAATAGAGTAGAATAAAAATAGAATAGAAGGATGCCATACAAAACAGCTGTGCAAGATTTTCTACACTTTTACCCGTTGTTCAGATTAGTTGTGAATTAAAAACTTCTACATCTTGTCAAAAAGTAGAAGAAAGGCTTGATGTCCCAGAATTTATTTGGCTATATCCATATTAAAACAACAATCAGAAAATTTTTACAATTTATCAAATGAATGGAATCGAACGAGGAATCCTTTAAAGCAGATAAAGTGGAATAGGATGATACAGAGACATATTACACAGTGAGTACACAACGAAACATATACAGAAAACAAGAACTAAGGATAAAAAAAAATTACAAATGCCATGCTTCAAGTTCTCCTTGCTCTTTTCACATCTCAGTATATCAGAAAGGTTCTTAAACAAGACACACAGACCTGTAAGGCCAGGTGAGGACGATGCTCATTCTGCTACAGGTGATGAACAAAGTGCTCAAATATGATTAAACTTCCACTTGTATTTTCCTTTTTAGAATTGCTTGAAACATGAGTGTTTGACAACCAATGTGAAGATGCCATTTGGCAGCACCCCTCACTGGATGTCTACATTCCTTTTAAAAGTTGGCAGTTTCAGTTAAAACTCTACCTTTCTTTGTTTTGTCAGTCTAATTCAAGTTGTAAAGTCTCTTTGCATTGACTTGTGACTACCCTCAAGTAAAGAGCAGATATATGCAGTGTGAGTTCATCAAAACATGCAGATACACTTCTGATCGCTGCTGTCTGCAGTGGAACACAGGCCACCCACAGACCCCCCCCCCCCCCAGTCTGACCCTTATTGGTGAATCCAGCCCATAATCTGCTGTAGATTCCACATCCTCCATGTCAAAAGATGAACACAACCCACTGACTGCAGACAGAACAACTCTCTCTCTCAGTGACAACGGAGCACAAATGTTCACAATACAAAGTGATGCATTGATCCCCGCATAATGTCAAAGAACAGCTGGATTTTCTGTTATCGCTAAAACCGCTAATAATACCAGTAATGTGGCACCTCTGTAGGCCTCTGTCTAAAGGATTCCTTATGAGGATTGTTCAGCAAAAGTCATTGGACGGATGCTGTTCTCGCTAATATTAAAGGTGGATTAAAGGGGTTTATTTTTAATATAAGGTTTATGTACAATGCCGCAGAAAATTTGCTGGTATTAATGATGCAGAAAGGGACAATATGCTGAATGGAAAGCTTTTAAACTACATCTGTGATCCACAAAATACAGCATCACGTTCTCACCATTGACCACAGCACAGTTCCTGTGACGCCATAAAGGCTGAGCTGAAACAGATGAAAGGCTAAGAGTGGATTTGTAAGGCTTTACTGCACAAAAATACAAGAATATATCTATATATTTAGCCATTTTGCATACTCTAGTAGCAATGAGATGTCACGCCACTTTCTTTAAAATGATTTTTGACTGCTCACATGGCAATGTGCTGATAAAAAGAAAAGACTCACAGAAGACCTCTCTGGAACGTTCACATTAGTTTCCTAAAGCTTTTCCTATCATTTAACTCTTAAAGTCTCTCCCAATTGTCACAGAAGGAGAGTCCCTCATCATCATGCTGCCATCACCATGTTTGACTGTATCGTGAAATTGAGGAGACAGTCATAAAGTGTCAAAAAGTGTTGAATTCTCTTACTTAGATGTCTTTTCATTATTCCCTACAGCGTCTTTATCAGACATTCATCTATAAATCCAGTGATACGAGACAGTTGTGTTCACTTAAAGTTATGACACAACTGCAGTGGTCATGCACTCATTTATCAATCTCTTCTTCATTATCATTGAAAAATACTTTTCATTCTCAGTCATCTGCACGGAAGTCTTCCTTCCTTCCTTCCCATTTCAGGCATTTTTATTAAATAACTAATGAATGATGTTTAGATTTCAAAATCTACATTATATTTAGGATTTTTTTTAATGGGTGATGTTCTTTCTTTTGTAGATAATCTATACTGCTGCCGATGGACAGACAAAAACAATTTATATATATTCCAATATAATGTCCATCTAGATATACAGACTATTGTTAAAGCTTTTAATGACATGGATGAAAACAAAACAGCTATAAACTGCTGAAAAGAGATCATTTGTGTTTTTAACCTGAATGTGTTCACAACGATGGGTTTTACATAAATACTGAGCAGTAAGCATGTCATGTACAGTTTCATGGAGTGTTATGACCTGGATTATGAGAAAAAGGCTACTAAATATTTCATATTTGCTTTGGGACACATGGCATGGGCATGTCCGAACCAACCCTTTGTACATAGACACCACTCAGTCTTTTTCCCTGCTAAAAGCAAACATTCCACCTATACCTTTCTCACTCAGTTATCTGACAGTCATCAGACTTTTGCAGCACAGAAGTTTCCTTCCTCGACACCACAGTGCATTTTGGTAATTTTTTAAACTGCTACAGGATTCCATAATTGCCTTAACCTTTAAATTCCTGCTCCTTCTAATCCATCTAAGCAGCAATCAGTGCTGATGGAAGAAAATGTCTTGTACATTTGCTATTTTATTTTTTGGTAAAATCATTATTTAGCAAGTAGAAGGGTAATGTTTATCTTTTCTATATTGTTTGGTTTACCTTTAAAGACACACTTTAAACCAATAACTGGAGGTTTTACAGGCACATGTAGGTACCACCAAGATTAGCGGGAGTAAGGACCTGATTAAAGATTAACATTCTGGACATAAACGCCTGAAGGTTTTACGATTAATCAGTCTGCTCTATGCATCCTCACATAGATCATGACGCCAAAACGGCACCCCGTTGGATCGGCCTTTTCATGTTACGTCACGGCTCAGCCATCGTCAAAGGCCGTGGCAGACGGTCGGTCCCAAATCCGACCACTGGAGGGAGTATCTAAGCATCCAGTTCCCACTGTGCATTCAGCCTCTTTGTTTAGTGAGCCCCAGCCTTTAGTCCACTCCTCCGCAGCACACAGGAAGGAAAACACAAGCAGAGCAGGGTGCAGCGATCAGGTTAAGTGGTCCGTCTGGTCAGTTAGGTCGTCCTCCTCCGCTCTCATTGGTTCGGCCGCTTCGGATGAGCGCAGGGAATGGCTGGAGCCGGACAGCTGGGAGGAGTGGCTCTGTGTGTCGTCCTCATCCTCGGCCTTCACCGCCCTCCTCTTCCGCCGGACACATCTCTGCTGCGTCTCCTTTTCTTTCGGGATTTCCTCTGGCCTCTCCCTCCGCCTCCCCGAAGCTCTCCGTTGCTCCCCGACCGTCCACATGCTCTCCTCCTCGTCGTCCTTCCCCTGGATCTCCCTGTCAAAGTCCAGCAGCTCCTCCATCATTTCCTCTATCTCCGTCTCTCCGTCCATCTCCGCCTCCACCTCGGACCGGAGCTCGTCCATGCTCTCAGTCCGGTTGGTGTCGTCCGTCTCCTCCTCCTCCTCTCCGAGACCCATCAGCCTCTCGGGGGGGTCGCTGGCCTGGCTCTCCCCAAACTCCAGGATGGTGGGCAGGTTTCCCTGCTTGGGACAGCGTTTCCTCAGACTGACCAGGAAGGGCTGCGGCAGGGAGAAGATGTCCACGTTGTTGCCCAGGTCAATCCACGTCACACTGGGGAAACTGTTTGGGTCCTAAGACAGAAAATGTGCACCTCATATCAGTTAAATGTTCTCCATCTCAGTTATGACTGAATTAATGAACAGAACAGACCGTAACTCAGAGTCAACGACGTTACCATAGAGAGGGTATTCAAACGTCAGAGTTTTATCACCTAGCTTCATTTATGAGTTAATTTCCTCTGTGCAAAAGTCTTTGTCAACACTTAAGACATTTGTTACATGGTTGTTGCTTCTGTGAGTTTGTGAGCAACCATCTGACTTAAACTCATTTAACCCTTTGTCCTAAAGGAAACAGTACTGCCCCACGAATACACAAAATGAAATGAGGACTTCTCGAGTTCTTTCTATCCAAGTCCAGACGTCTAAGGGTTGAACATTAGCTAAAGTTCAGGTTAATCTTTAAGATTCTACCTAAAAATGTGTCGATTTTCTTCTTTGCCCAATATTGACTTTGTTGCTCCAGTCAGAGTCTTTGGTTTCCACAGAAAAATAAATAAAGGGATAGAAATATAAATCTCTGAAACTTTTGTCCTCACAAAAACAACATATTTCATACAGTTCTTACTCAGGAAATATATATATGAATATTCAGAAACCAGTGCACTCCCTGACCTTCAAGGCATCGGTCAGCTCCTTCAGAACGGCTCTGGTCAGCCTGTTTCCGTTCAGGGCCAGGGTCTCCAGGTGCGGCAGCGCGGCCAACGTGGGGAGAAGCAGGAGGAAGGCCTCGTCCGTCAGCTCCGTAAAGCCCAGCTCCAGGCTGACCACGAAGGCCGCGTGGTGCTGCAGGTGCCCGCACAGCCGCTCCATGTCCCGGGTCGTCAGGGGGATGCCGGACAGGTCCAGAGCGCCGCTGGACAGAGGGGCCGACAGCACGGCCTTCAGACTGGAAACACACGTGTGAGAAAACGTTCAAACCGTTGGACTACAGGCTGCATCGAGAAGCTACTAGCTTAAACTGTCAGTCCCAGCCTCCATATCATCAACTTGGCAGAATCATGTTTTTAAAGCCACAGCAGGAGCCATATTTAAGGGTTTATGTTTCTGGTTTACATTCTATGGCCCACTGATTTTTCACATAAGACCGAAAGCACGCAGTACTGAACAACTGGTCTGCTCTCATCTTGTTTTTTTTACTTTATGGTCGACTTGTCTGTTTTTGTACAATGGCCCAAAGACTATTTTCCTTGTAAACAGACTACAAGGCCAGAATCATTCTATTTGTCTGTCCAAAGTTCCCCAGCTGCCATTCAAAATCCCAGCTGCACGCTGGATAGACAGCCTCTGTCCCTGAAGAGAGACTGCCTTTAGTGTTCACTTATGATCAGTTATGTCACAGGCTTTAAGCAAGCACATCTAAAGATACTGTTACAATTGGACTGTTTTGTCAGATCGCTAAAAATAATTGTGCGAGTTGAGGCAAACAAGGTGAGGAGGTCAGTGTTCGGTAGCATGAGTCACCTGATTTCCATTTTGAATAAAGTCAAGCACGCATTGTACCTGAGGAGCTACTAGACACTAGGATTAATTTAAAAACAACAACACGCTTGATGAACAAAGGACAGGAAGACCAACAGAAAAGAGGACATCAGGTTCTTCACGCACAAAGTAGTTGATTTAATAATAGGAATAACTGAAGACGTGGTAATAAGTGTAGAAAGGAAGTCTTGCTCTTTCCAGCACACAGCCGATCAGAGATCTACTATGAAACTACTGAGCAATGTGGAGAATGTGGGTTTCAACTATTATTAGTAAACAGCGGAATATATTCATCTGCTCATATGCCATAGGGATTTCATTGGAATCTAGGACAGAGCGACCCAAAGCGAGGCAGTGAACGCAGGTCAAATTTAGCTCACAATGCTCAGCGCTCCCAGTGGTCTCCCCTTTTGTCCCTGAATATATTCACGGTTTGATTAGAAAGGGATAAAAACGCCAAACAAGCTATCGATGTCAACACAGTTGAGCTGATAATCCTGCTATCTGGTTCATTTCGAATTCTTCTTGAAGTTCTACATCTCATCAACTGGTGGCTAGACATTGTCTGAATTAAGAAGACGCATCTCAAGAGGGGAGCGCATTTTGTACCCCAAGATCTTTGCGCAAGTTTCGACATCAAGTGAACCACTAGCTAAAGACCGTTTACGACTGGTGTGAGGGTGAGCAGGCAGGTGGTTTCTGAAGGCCTCGATCTCCAGAAGGGGTTCAAACAGGGGCGGGAGGAGTGATACATTTAGATCCAGAGACAAGATGTCATAAGGTGGTTAGTGCACACACAGAAGCGGTACAGCAATTCGGCAGAGGCCATTTCTCCTACTGCTCCTTAAGAAGGGAAAAACTCAGAAAAACAACACACAACACTACTGCCAAACTGGATCTTCACAGCATGCTCTAAAGGGCTGTGCTCAGGACGTTAGGAAGGATAGTCTAAAAGCTTCTTTTAAAAAACGGTTGTAGATTCTCAGCCATCTAGGTCACGGTAATCCTACGAGCTTGAGTAAAAGCAGCTGGGTTTGTTCTTGGATCTCAAAGGACACAAAAACGGAATTACACACATCGAAATGCAAGGCTGTCTTCACTCACTTCAGATTCTGTGGTGCTTTACCGGGATGGAGCGTTTTCTCCACGGACCACAAGGTCCGATTTCTCTATGACTAATCTGTCCCTTCATCTGTAGCACAGCTTCCAGCACCACTCAGCAACCCTTCAGTCTAAAGCAAAGAACAGAACTGGCATGGCATGTTGTGTAAAGAGCAGATGGAAAGCTAAGGGAGCTGATGATGTGTTTGGCTTCAGACCGGATTCCCACGCTACAGACGGTGACCCACAACCCCTCTTGAAACCAGGGTCATCCCTTTCTGTCTGAATCAGAGCTAACATGGAATGGAATTCATCTCGTCACTGAATCTGACTATTTCCATTTAAGAGATTTAGATTTTTATTCCTCAAGTGACTTCAACCGATGGGGCAGCATTTAATCCCACAAGAAGTGTAGATGCATTTATAAAAACTTACTTATTGTTATTTTAAGTATGTTATACAATCTACCTGCCATTTCCCCTCCTGACCCATACATATTATATCAAGTTGCGTGTACTCAAAAACTACTCTTTAAAGTAGAAGCTACAGGGTTGAGGGATTTTGTGAAATACTAACATATTCACTGTGGTGTAACATGTCATAGCTAGAGGTTTGTGCGACTAACCTGACAGACAAGTGGGGGAGTCTAGACTAAGTCCCGTGCTAAAGATTGGAACCTTGACGTAATTTTCTGTTAAAATGTCAAATCTAATCTACAAACTACAGCATTTAGTCAAAGTTAGATATCACAAACCTGATGATTAAGGTGAGGAAAACATCACGGCTTTCATTAAAGTAGCCCCTGCAGGGGCACATCACATCAACATCTCTTTTTCCTGAATTAACGGCTGACTTCCACCCTTCAGTTATACGTGCAAAAAACGTTGTACACACAGTTTACATTCCCCTCTTGGAATATCTGACTTTTAATGGGGTTCTGGATGGCTCGTAACATCATCATGTTGCCTTCGAGACAACAGGCCTGATGGGCATACAGTACCATCTTTTGGGGTCCTGAGAGAAAATGTACAACCACATAAACCCATCAATGTGGTTCTTTAACAGCTTTTGTCATTTGATTAAATCTGTATGGAGCTTGTGGGTATTCTTTTAATTGCTTTGCATGATGAATAAGGGGCCTGGTATGGGCTAATGAGGTTTCGTTGAGGCTATTGTGATGAAACTGACCAGAAATCTATTGGGAAATCCTCATGCTTAATAGCCTGAGCCTCTCTTTTCTTGTACTTCTTACAAAGACACATTTATATATTGTGATTCATAAGTCAAAGATCGGACAGCAACTCCTGAAAACGAATATTTACAGCATTTTTCTTAACAGGGTGCCAAAGTATATCAAGTTGAAGTCGCAGAAACAGAGTTATGGAAGATTCATTACAAAAGGAGGGAAGCTTTGAGGACTGCAATGAGAAGAAGAAGAAGATGCAACATTCCTTAAATAAGAGAACTGAGAACTACAGTTCAATTACAAACCGACTGATTCTAATACAATCGGAATCCATTTTTTCAGCCGACACATACACACACGAATATGCTACAATCGTCTTGCAGTTTCATCAATTCATCTGTCATCAGGATCTGTTTCCGAGCCAAGCCCCATATAAAGCAGTCACTGCAGCATCCTATTACTCTGATTAGAGCACTTTCATCCAGAGGGGGTGGGGAGTTGACCACAGCTCTCATTGGACGCCACTTTTCCAGCATCTCGTCCTCGCGTGAGGATCTTTGCGAACGCCCGGTGCCTTGAATTTGTTATGCTGTCAGCTAATCTGTTGTAGAATTAGATCAGATTATTCCTGTTTTTCTATATAAGTGATGTTTTGTAATATTTTAGAAAGTTAGGTACAAATGAAATCATTTTATAGGTCCTTTGTCCTCACCCACAGACGAGTGGAATTTCTCCAATGCTCCGACACGCCCAGAAACACACCGTTCATGCTAAGTTGAGCTAAGCCATGGTTACAGTTCAACATCTGTGTGCTAATGTACACTGACAGGAAGGGAATCATATCAGCACTGTGAGGCTGTGGGCTGGGAGAAAATGCTCAGGATGGCGTGATACCTGCGAGCTCCTCTGTGGGAGATCGTAGCGCGTGGAGGTCCAGCTCATGTGGTTAAAAAAAAAAAATCCTGATTAAATCAGAACAGAGCGACCGGTCGGAAATGCTGGGCCGCTTTCCTTCAGGTTTTAGCTTTGGAACTGATCCATAACCGTAAAACGTCTCCCCTCTCAGCTCCTGTCGGTCCAGTTGGTACCTGCTCTTTTCCCACTTTAACCTCTCCATCTCTTACGGTCCAGTGTTCCAAAAACATCAAGCCAGGTGCCCTTTCATGCCAGTACTCTCCCGATGAATCCGACAAGACTTCTTCCCCCCTTTGGCCTCCTTGCTGCACTACTGGAACCGCAAACACTTCGGACAGACCCTGGAAATGGTCACCCCAATAGAACTATGTTCCATCCAGATTTTGCTCTCTCCCCAATCATTCGTTGGCTTCATTCTGTCCAGTTCTACGGCCTGCTGCTTGTAGTCGCACCACTGTTCTCGTCACTGGACGCTTCAGGTGTCCCTCTTTACATAAAGATGTTGAGGAAAATGTGATTTTGTCTCTGGACTCCCATCATCCCAAGTTATGACCACCTTATCACTGACCGTTTTTCTAAAGCCTGTCATCCCATGTCCATGCCATTTTCATATAAGGAAAATGAAAATAGAACATGTGGTGGTACCAGTTTAAAAACGGGTGTAACTTTGTACCAGTTTACAAGGCAGGGGGAGTAAGCACATACCCCAAAACTGCAAGCTAATCTAATCACTCCCACAGTTTTTAACATATTCCCACAATAGATTTTACGAGTTTATCATAAAGAGTGATGAACATGGGTTAAACCTAAAAGAACCACAACACATGCAGGAATCAAATTAATGGATAGAATAACCCCTGCTACTCAAAATAAGAAATATCCCCAGGGGATGTTATAAGAACACAGTTAAAAAGTGGTAAACAGGGGGTTGCATTCTCTTTGGTGAAAAGCAAGCTCAGAAATGTGTTCATATTTTGTGTACATGAACAATACTAAATCAAAATTAAATAAAAACTTTTATCTGTGGCCTTTGCCCTTCATACTGTATATTAATGACTTTTCCGACACAATATTGTTAGCTAAGGATGTCAAATTACCGCTCTCTAGTACTTAATTCAAACAAAAACTAATTGTGCTGCTTCGGAAATAATGGATGGAAAACATATTTAACCACCCTGTTAAATATGTTTTCCATCGTTAAGAA